CCATCTAAAAGTGTGATCATGATCTGTAGGAGTAAGGAAGATAAATCTACTGAGTTTCCAGATTTTTTGCTGTCAAATACTGTGCTGGGTGTAACAAATAAAACCAAGTAGTGAAACGTCCAAGATGGTCCAGCGCAAGTGAGATGTTTGTCTGTCAGTCAGTCAGTCTGTCTGTCTATATTTTCTTATTCCTCTGGCAGAGTGTCTCACTTACCTGCTCAATTCGAGAAAAAAAATGCACTTAAGAAAAATGTACTTAGATTAACATTTTTTGCAGTGGAAGTTTCAGCCGGAATACCCTCTTTCTTTTTGAAAAACAAGCAAAAGGACATGATTTTTAGCTTTAAGGGAAAGATCTTTGCACATTCCTCCCGACCAGATTAGGTAAGAGTTTGATTTATTAGTCAACTCCACTAGTTGTGAAACAAATCAAGAATGTGATACAGTTAAACTGCTACTACGATTGGCTAAAAGCTCGACACAGGAGGCAACTTCGAATTTACCCAATCAGCTTGAAGAATTGTACTGAATGCCCCTATATTTGCCAAGGACGCCACATGAGCCTTTCCAGATGGATGTGTAGAATTCAAACTGAACTACACCTGGCTTATGCAAGGATATAAAAATGGACCCTGGCCTAAAACTTGGTGTGTAAATAGTTTAATCAAGTTCTCCTTTTTTCTGTTGAGGCAGCTGTCAAAGATTAAGACCCTCTCACCTAGACGCCATCTTAAATTTGGATTCCATGCCTTTATCACCTCACGCCCCAACTATTGTAGATCTCTTTTGCTTGGTGTTAGCAAAGCTAATCTTTCATGGCTACAGGTGTTGCAGAAGGCTGCTGCTCAGCTTTTAACTGGTAAATATAAATGTGATGACATAACAGTTTTAGCATCCCTCCACTGGCTCCTTAGTAAACTTTTAATCAATTTAAAATGTATTTTATTTGCACTGAAGTGTCAAAAAGCAATAGAGCTAGTTATTTATCTGAACTGCTCCACTCCCGTACCTGTGCACACTCTCAGATCTGCAGACCACATGAGTCTTGTTATAAATCTGAGCCAAAGCTTTTGCAGATCTGGCTCCAAGTTGTGGGTTAAACCACCACTGGTCCATCTTTTAATGTTTTTAAAACTCTATTCTCATTGGCTTTTATCCCAGAGTCAGTTTTTTTTTAAATCTGTTTCAATGTACTCATTTTCTTTTTCCGTTTTCTTTTGTGCTTTTATCATAGTGGGTTTATGTATATTCACCATGTTGTGCTTGATTTATTTTTTTTGTGCAGAACTTTGGTCAGCCTCCATGTTGTTTTTATAGTGCTCTAGAAATAACATGAAATGTTATGGTAAAACACAACGTCTTGTCTGATGGAATAAAAGCATGATTCCTAAACATCCATCCTGAACTATGGAAGGGTTTAGATCAGGGTCTGCAAACTGAGGCTGTGATAAAAAAAAAAACACCTGCCTCCCTGTGGCACAGTATATAGAAAGTAGGAAAATGTAATAATTTGTTTAATATTTTCTAATTTAATCAGTTGGTAGAACTTCCAGATTGGAACCTCATTCAAACAAGAAACATTTGACTTTTAAAGGGATAGTTCGGTATTTTTGACATGAATCTGTATGGCATCCCCATCACCAGTGTCATGCAATCACACTGACTTACCCCTGGCAGCGTCCTGTGAGCAGAGTT